TTCGAGGTGGACGGCGAGGGTGATGTCATCATGACGGAGGCCGACCCCATCGAGCTGCAGAGCACCTACTCCTGCTTCATGGCGTCGCCGCCGCTGGTCGTCAACTTCACCTATGCGCTGCCCCAGCCCGTGGTCGAGGTGCCGCCGGTGGACCCCATGACCACCCTGGGGCTGCCCCCCTTCTCGTCGCTGGATGACCTGCGCAGCTCCCTCAAGATGCCGCAGGTGATGAGGGGTGGCGGGCACGGTTGGGTTGCAGTGGCGCTCAGCGGAACGCTCGACCACCTGCCCGGCTTGGTCCCACGCATCATGCCTTGCGAGTGCAGCCCGGCAGCTGTCTGTCTTTTGGCTTCTGCAACTGTTTGATCTCACGCACCAAACTCAGCCCTCTCAATAACTAAATCCACTAGCCCCGCCTCACCCATTCACACATCTTCTCAGGCACCGATCAAGCCGCCGCGCGCCGCCTCTTCCTGGGACCACTCGCCGTCGCCCCTGGCCTTCAGCCCCAGGCTGGCGCTGGCCGAGGTCGTGAGCACCGCCGAGTCCACCAAGCTGGTGAGCCCCCTGCCTCAGCCCCATCGTACGGGATGCCCCTGCTGGCAGCCGCCCTTGTTGCTCCGATGCGGGCCCCTGTGCAGGCCCGCTCCCCTCAGCATTATCCAAATCATCGATCCAGCCCTGGTGCGAATACACCAAAAACTTGAACCCCGCCCAGGTGGCCAGGAAGGTGAGGCAGGTCACCTGCACCGCGGGCCCCGCGTTCAACACGCGCAGCACCAGCCGCCGCGACAGCGCCATTGCCTACCGCACGCGCGCGCGCAGCATCTGGTGAGCCCCCCGGCTGGTGACCCCCGCTGACTACGCCGAGTGCCACGAGGTAGGTAAGGAAGGTGAGTGGGCACGGTAAGTCCCACTTCCTTATCACTGTCCTACTTCCTTTCCACTTAATGCCATGCTAACGACCGCCCGCCCACTAAATCAACTCCGCCCGTTGAAGCCGCGCCGCCAACGCCGCGCACAAACAAGATAAGTGTTGTCTTGCAACCAATGCTCGAATCAAGGTGAGCAAGAGGGTCGGGGTGCGTCCTGGGCGCTACTGTATGCGCGCGCGGACGCCACCAGCTTCGCGTCTTACACAGTCGTGTCATCATTGCGGTCCGCGCTCATCCTGCGCCGCCTTTTCCCCCAACCCATCCAATAGGTGTGCTGACAACCAAACGCCTTGCGGAGACAACTCTGCGCCCGCCTGAGTGCCATCGAGCCTGCTCGTTGTGAGGTGGTGCCAAAACCCTCCAGATGAGTGATGCTTGCTGGTCATGCATTTGATGGGGTGGGTTAGCAAGGGTCCACGGGAGGCTCGGGGTCTGTGTTGGATTTTGACAGCTGACATGATGGGTTAGTGCGGTTGTGCTGCAGGGCTGGCACCGCGCTGTTGCAATGTTGGTCGGTTTGACCCTGACCCTGCCGACGCTGCCCCTTACCCTGCCAGGTGTGAAACAGAGCGCGCCACAGCCTCGGAGAAGGAGCACATCCAACCCCAAGTGTACAGACCAGGCTTTGTTGGTGAGTAAGCCTTTCACGTACGCATCACGGGTGTGTCGGCCTCGTCACGTTTCACGGGCCATGACCTGCAGCTCTTGTGAGGCACACAACGGCATGGTTTGGCCACAGACCCCAAACTTCATCTGCACATATAGCTGCTGTCAGGTTCACATGCATCTCAATATCACACAAGTGTCATGCAAACAATTGGCAAATGGCGAGTCAGATGTGCGTGTGCCGTCCCGTTTGCAGGGTTGTCTGTGATTTTCGTGTGGTGCCCACCTGGTGCCCCACCCCCTCCCCCAGCCCCGCCAAACCCCAGCCTCTCGACACAAGCGTACCTTGATGTCAAAGGCTCCGATCCTCACAACTCAAGAAACAAAAGTGCGCATGGGGGCAGGCCAGCGCGGTTGGCAGGCTGGGTGTGCTAGGTCCCTCGCTGCCGCTGCTGCTGTACCCACGCGCAGTATTCCCTGAACCCCACCCAACCAGGGGCGCGGCCTGGCACCGCCAAATCAAGGAGCGCAATCAAGTCCCCGTATTCAGCTAGCTGCCAGGAGACTGGCTCTCCGTGACCGTGCACGTTGCGGCTGCTGGTTGTGCGGCGTTATCCAGTTTCTTCGCTTGACTGTGGTGTGTGCCTTTTAATGCATTGTGCAATCCTGCACCTGCGCTGCCCTCTTTGTAAGTCTTTGAGTGATGCTTTGCAGCAGTGCCAGGGTCTGTGCCACTGGGAGATTTTACGTTGTGGCAGGCGCTTGCCTGGCGTGGCCAGCTTTGAATGCTCAGTCAGCAAGGCGTTGCAGGTTCAAGCCACAATTTGTGACAAATTCTCCTTGTTGCCTGTTGCAAGCTTTGCTCCTCGCTTGATTTTGTGAGAGGTGCCTGTGCACCACCCACATGCCGACAGGCCCATTGCTGCTGTGGCTGCTGACCCGCCACGAAGCCGCCTGCTCTTGTGTCTCTTTTGTGTGCTGCGTGCGAGGCTTTGAAACGCATCCTCCTGCATACATTGCCACCAGTGCACGCTGTAGGTCTTGCAGTACAAGGCGTTCCCTGGTTGCCTCATGTGGTGTCGCGTTGCTGACCTCTGAACATGTGTCGGTAATGTCATACGGGTCGTAGTCACTGACAGTCTCAGGCTCGGCTTCCACCCACCACCCTTGCTTTACGCCTGAGCAAGAAATCTCAAGAAATATGGCAGAGCACAAGCAAATTACACCAGAGAGAAGAGGCATACACCTCAAAAATCATTGAACACTCCCCTCGCGCATTTCCTGCTCAAAGACACACACCAAGCGGGGTACGCCTGCCCCCCCGCCTGCGCTCTCCCGCTCGCTCTCACCGCCGCTG